ATTCAGTGTACCTCGTTTTCTGATTTAGATGATTGAGGAATACGTAAGAATCCAGAATCCAGTGTACCTCGTTTTCTGATTTAGATGATTGAGAAATACGTAAGAATCCGAATTCAGTGTACCTCGTTTTCTGATTTAGATGATTGAGGAATACGTAAGAATCCGAATTCAGTGTACCTCGTTTTCTGATTTGGATGATTGAGGAATACGTAAGAATCAGAATTCAATGTACCTCGTTTTCTGATTTAGATGATTGAGGAATACATAAGAATCAGAATTCAATGTACCTCGTTTTCTGATTTAGATGATTGAGGAATACATAAGAATCCGAATTCAGTGTACCTCGTTTTCTGATTTGGATGATTGAGGAATACGTAAGAATCAGAATTCAGTGTACCTCGTTTTCTGATTTAGATGATTGAGGAATACATAAGAATCAGAATTCAATGTACCTCGTTTTCTGATTTAGATGATTGAGGAATACATAAGAATTCGAATTCAGTGTACCTCGTTTTCTGATTTGGATGATTGAGGAATACGTAAGAATCAGAATTCAGTGTACCTCGTTTTCTGATTTAGATGATTGAGGAATAAGTAAGAATCAGAATTCAGTGTACCTCGTTTTCTGATTTAGATGGTTGAGGAATACGTAAGAATCAGAATCCAGTGTACCTCGTTTTCTGATTTAGATGATTGAGGAATACATAATACACTATTATCCAATTTAGTATACAAGGTACACTGGATTGGATGATTGAGGAATACTTAATAAGAATCGGAATTCAGCGTACATCATATACTAAATTTGGATGATTGAGGAATACTTAATAAGAATCAGAATTCAGCGTATTTCATATACTAAATTTGGATGGTTGAGGAATAGGCAATAAAAACTCACTTGTGGCATTGATCTATCTACTGTGGTCATTACACAGACTAGTACAGAGTTTCATTTACAAGAACAACCTCTTATCAAATTGTGAAAATTTGTAGCAACAATATTTTTGGTATATGTGCATTCTGATACTGCCATATGATGGCCACTCATCAAAACAAGTGGAGGTCTCATGTTAAATTATTTTCAAATTGGTTCTGTTAAGAAATTGTTTCAGCGAGGTGCATCTTTTTGACTGATAAGTAGACATAATGTTTCTGGATTCTATACACTTCAAACTACTTGTTGTTGGCTTTTGCATGCTGACAATGTTTGTATCTTTCATCCAACTACTACATCTAAGCAATAAATGCTTGCTGAATTTGCACACTTAATCTTTAAAACCTTCTGTAGACTACCTCATATTTGCAGGACATGGCGTGTCTCTTTCTAGTCTCTAAAATTATAAAATGATTTTCTTTTTAACTAGCCTTTTCATTCCTTCTCACTTAATAGTCTTAATTCTCTTTCTGGGCTGGTTTACCATATAGAAATAGGCAATTCATAAATAGATCATATATCTTCCACCTTTACAATTATTATAGTATGCCTATTATCATTCCAGTGTCTATTACCTTGTGACTCTAATGTATTGATTATCATATATGACTGCTACTACCATGTTTATTGAATGATGTACTGCATTGCATAAAAGATGACTTCTCCCACTTTTGTTGATCTTTCTAATAATCTAAAATTAGTCACACTTCAATAATGCAAATGCAATATATACATTGTATCGATAACAATAAAAAGATTAAAATAGCCTGAGTTTTATGAGCCTTTGAAGTGATGCAAGTTGTATTTATGAATTTATAATTGGGCAAATGAAAACAATAATTATTCATCAAAATGTGACTTCCATTTTCTGAGAGTTTTGCCTCCGTTACCAATGCTTTGTCAGTACAGTAGCCAGTGTGGTTTGAATCCATGTTTAGCCAATTTAAATGTATGTGCATTATTTCATCATAAATGCATAATTCCAAAGCTTAAACAAGAAAGTGCCAAAAGTATTCATCAGGCAACTTGGCAAAAACCTGTTCCTAAAATACTCTGACAATCATAAGTGTCATTATCATTTTTGTTGGCAAATTAAAGCTCCCTATTATGCATAATTATTCCACTCCAGCTTGTATAGAAATTTATTGAATTTAACTTTTGATTATGCCTTTCTGACTGACATCATATGAATAATGGGCCTTGTTGCTAATCTGTCTTGTTATTGTTATCTGAGATTTCAGTTGTTAGGAAATCTAGAACAGTAATTTGCTTGAAATTGCACCCTCTAGCCTTGAAGCTGATAAATCTTTTGTTTTTATAATATAAACTCAATACCTTCCTGTCAATGACATTTGACTGCAAGTAATTGTTTTAATTGTGTTTTCTTTGTTTAATTGATAGGTCTTTTAAACCAGCATTTGTGTTAATCCGACAACATGCTAGAGGTATGGGTGTGCAAGAAGACTGGAAGAATCTTGTACTTGGCTTTCAATATGGATGCATACCTAGTGTTAATAGCTGGGAATCAATCTATAACTTTATGGATAAACCTTGGGTGGTAAGTGTATGTTTCTTGCCAAATAATTGCAACCAGAGAACATCAATAAACAAAGTATGGTTGACCATTTCAATTTTATAAGATACAAAAATTTGCTAAGACATACAAAAACATTATTATCTAATTATTATTTATTTGATACTGGACAATTGTACTGCATCTTTACCTTAGTCATTATGGAATATACATGTATTTCATCTAAAAAATAAATATATTGAATAGATATTGATATTAATCAATATTTTGCAAAACAAATAATGCCTGTTTCATTTCCAGTTGACATAATTTTACTTTTATAATGTCCAAGTTGATAATTTTTTGCACATTTTTATGTGTTTTATTTTCTATAATTTTTTTTGTTAATCAAGTTCATGTAGTTTTTGAAAAAAATATGGAAAAAACTGTAGGTTTATACTGTGAAAGGTGGCAAAGGGACCAAGCGTTCAAAGACTAAAAGCATTGAGGCGAGACATATCTTGTTAGGACGAGTTGGGTTATGAGAAACACAAACAAAATGGCGGCCTGCTTTTATTATCTAATACAAACAACATAAAACTGATCTAACATAAGAGCCAACGCCACATTGATGCTGGAGGTCGGCGTTCTTTCAACACCGATCTGACGCATATCACGCAAGGTGTGCCGGGAGTTTGTTTGAAATTTTGAACGTTTCGAAGTCAGTTGTTGGCCGGCCGGATATAATAAATTGTTTCAGGGGCCTGTTTACTAAATAATGATAAATGAGACTTAGAAATACTAAAGATTAAATTATGTATGACATAAATATTTCACTCCCTAAACAATATTTCACTAAAATATGTAAAAAGCAATATCAAGTTTCGTGTATAAACACTGGTGTAAAGAGGCGATGGAGTGCTATTCTAGCCAAAATGACATATGACACAGGTTTGTGCTGGGACACCGCTTCCTGTGACGACACAACGCCAACGCCATCCATGGTCAGCACTGTATAATTCTCTCTGTAATATCATGTGAGGGCGCCCTACAATGAATACATCCTGACATTTCCTGCTGAGATTCTTTACATTCTGACTAGGATTCTGATGAATCAGGATGATGCTAATCAAACCAGATCTTGTGAAATAAAAAAGTTGTAATAAATGATAACAAACTATTAAAAGAAATTATACGTGTATATCACAATGAAATAATAAACATCATCATTGTTATGGTATTATTTTTCATTTCCTTTCAGACAATATCATGAATGAGCTTAAAACCAATTTTGTTTTGTTTGTTTATTCTTTTGTTGCAGTTCGCTCAACTACTGAAGCTTCAAGATAAACATGGCAAGGAGAAATTTCCAGTTATTGACCAGTCATACTTCCCGAACCATAAGGAAATGGTGAGTCAACTGAAAGATTTTTCAAGATTTTGTCCCCTTGGCTGTTATACAATATAACATCCCACTTTCAATGTTTCATCAGTCAGGTAGTTCTTAATTTTAAATAACATGTTTGGAATTGTTGTTGTTTCCGTTGAAGCTAAGCTCCACCACACCATATGCAGTAACATTTTTATGTACATTATATGTGGATTTCATTTCACTTTTCTGTCCCCTATCTTTTTCTGCTATCTGAACACAGGTCTTAATTATTTAAAAAATCATGTGAAAAGTGAAAAACATTGACTTTGGGGTTGGAAGGGTCTATTTGAGATATTACTTGCAGCTATGTATCAGTTATGGCAAACAGTCAAATAAAATTGTTTTACAATTTAGATTTAAGTGTGTTTAAATGGAATTGGAAATTCTATACCTTCTATAGTTTAGCAATATAAATATATCAATTTATGAAATTATTAATAAATAAACTTGTTTTAATAATAATAACTAATTTAATTCTACATTCTTATTACCACTGATTAAATCTAACTCTTATGATTCAGTACTAAACTCAAAAATATATTTATTTCAACAATTTTGCCAACTTCGTCCAAAC